ATTTATTCTTCTTTCAAAACGTCGCATGTAAATAAGCTGTGGATAGAACGATATGCTTTTGCTCTCTCCGGAAAGAAATATTCCTATTTTTTAAGTAAAAAACGTTGTGAAATGCATGGTATTAAAATTTTAGGGGCAAAATAAGCAACATTATTCATCGGAAAAGCAAAAAATGTCAGCAAGTACTATTTCTACATGGAAAGAAGACACCAAACGAATACCCGAAAAAGATGCGTATTGCAAGTTAAATCGTTGTTAACAAGAGAAAATCCGCCGTCGCAGTTATTAATTTCAAAGTCTTAAAATACGCCTTTGGCAGCAATAAATAAAACAATAAACCGAGAATTACATCAGTTTATGCCGAGGCATATGACTCAACACGGAACAATTTGTAGAACTCTCTATGAAAACTAATTAGCAAGATATAAAAAGAAATACATTGTTATCCTAAATGAAACATGGTTTTACCCTATGACTGCAACAAAAAAAAAGTCTATATATTATCCATACCCAAGAGAAAAAATTTACAAACCAAGTTCCATAAGAAAGATCCAGTAACGGTTTTATGATTGTCACAGGATTTTCTTACAATGAGGAGGGGGGGATTTATAGAATCAACTCAATGTACTATCAAGAGAAAAGTTTACGTCCGATATTCCCAGAAGAAATTACTTTCTTTATCTCAATAAATTTCAAGGAATGTCACTTCATCAAGACAAAGCAACAAGTCATACTTCGAAAAGTACCACTGCATTCCTTGAATAAATGAAGACTGATATAGGTATGCATATATACATTTTCAATGCATTCTGCGGAGTCCTTTGACATTTCACTTCTGCACTATTGTGCCTCTTGAGAAGAGCTCCTTCTAAGTGGAAATCTACCACGATTGATGGACTTTGGAAAGTAGTGGAAGAAAAATGGAAACCCTTGGAATTTTTACGAAAAGCATTTCTATCGTGGAAATCAGATTAATCACATTAATTAAACAGCCCCGAAATCTCTTGTATTATTAAAATAGAATAAAATTATAAATTATTAATAAATGCATTTATTATTTTTAATTTGTGCAGTTTGTTCAGCAACTGCACATTGTCTGGGTTCGTAAGATAAATTAAGTATCTCATGTTTTACCAAATGGAAGCAATCTGAGAACTGGTTTAAGGCGAGAACATGTAGAAAATAAATTGACAAATTTTGTTTTGCAGTCACAGCAAAAGTCAGCGGGAAGCATTTTGTGGGCGGTGAAGAATCAGAGGGGAAAGAGAGGGCAAGTAGGGAGGGGTGTAGGGTGGTGGATAGTGGCTGGATAAGCGTAAGGAAAGGGAAAAAAGAATCTGAGAGATAGAAGGGGAAAAACAGGAAAATCGAGTGCAACCAGAAAGAGGAGAGGAAAGGGGACAGCGAGATGCCGGAAAATAGTGTTGGGTCATATAACAAAAGAATCCAAAAACAAACGCAAAAAGTAATACTTCCCTAGACAAATATTGACAGAGACACTTCCTTGCTATTATAAAATTTCAGACGATCGTTCACATAGCCTAGTCTACGAATCTTCTTCAATAGACGAGCAACTTGTCAACAGCGCATCTCTTCAAAAATCTCTCATACTTCCATGCTAGAGCTGTATGTATCATTATACACAGATATATTTTGTATACATTCTTCGCGACACTCAAATCTCAACTCGGCTTTCATATCGTACTTAGCACATTCAGGACCGGGCATAATCTTGAAACTTCACGCTGGCATGAGAAAGGAAATCAGGTCAAAATTCTCATACAAGGGGTAGGTTGCTGAATGGTTCGAAACGAAACAATGCCGCCTATCACACAAGCTGCATGGCGTAAAAACATAGGGGCGACAGATGAGCAGGCGCATGCTTGTGCGCATAACAGACGAGTAGCAAGGCGTGAACAGATATATCTACTAAGCCTCTGAAATACGAAGAAGAAGGGGCGTCAGACTCTCTACATCTAGATTAGGTTGCAGTAACAAAATGTCGGACAGTCATTCCCACACTAAGCTAATCAGGTGAAGATTCAAGTAACCGAGAACTGTAAGGCGAATTTGCGTTATAAGTTATTAATATGATGGTACATAACAAAGACAATAGTAGCTACAGAAAGAGACTATTCCCGGGCGGGGCCATTGAGAGGGAGAATGAATGGGTAGTCATGGAACGGATCGGAAGGTATGAGCGAACCGATGGATAGTAAATGGCGGGATAATCGGAGTAACGGATCACTAAGGGTCGTGCAGCGGAGCGACGGCCGCGCAGAATGACTGAAGCGGGAAGCGGAGGGGGAGGCACACGAGCGGGGCCGTGGACGAACGCCAAGGAGGGACGTGTCTGTCGCCATTATCGTGGTGGCACAAGGCAGAGGCAGCAGGTCAAGCCGTTGATTCGACAGACGAGCGCTCTCGGCTATGAGCGCACTATCGAAGTAGCGCAGTGCATAGCGACTTTGCCTTACCATGCCAGAGAGTTGATAATGTCACAAGTGCTCCGGATACACCTTAAACACAATGTCTAGTATGTTCACAAGTCTCTGGGCTCCATCGATACAGTCTACCTCTTACTGATCAGATCTTATCAAGTGCCAATCTATTTCTAAAGTGATAAGTTACAGATGGTATAGATTTCGATTTGATGTCCTTTTAGCCAGATAGACCTGCGAGTCGGTGAGGGACTCATGTTGCTATTCCGAAGTACGGTGAAGTCGAACGTGTATTCATAAAGAAAAAAATAAAGCTCTTTGTATATCTCCTTCGTCTGTATCCGATGATACCACATTAGCCTAGCAATATATTGCTAAACAATCAGTAGGAACTTATAGTCAGAGAGCTCGTCAAACTGTTCTAGTCTCCAGTTGATACAGTTAGATTGAACACCACCTAACAGGGTTGAAAGAAACATTAGTGACAAGACCTGTATGAGTTTACTAATAAGGAAGTCAGCATCTCACTTCATTAAAACTCTCATTTCGCGATGAACTCACAACCGATATACTCCATCTCTCTTAACTACTCATCATGCGTACTTAGAATATATACTGTGACATTACATCATACATTTATACGTCAGGCGCTGTGGATAAGACTAGAGATTAACAATTTGTTTACGTAAACAAGGCATCCATTCATCTTAGTTCAAATAAGAATCAGAATAATTGTCTCTTAGTGCTCACTGAATCTTGCCAGATATATTGGTATATAGTGTGGTAGTTACGAACTATTTAAGTTTTGGCTTTTGTTTTGTCAAACAGTCTCATCACAAGTAGAATGAGAATGTAGAACTTTGACTGTGGATATCACTGTCCAGTGATAAATCGGTCACAGCTCATCGGTCTATTCTGCTTCTGGATATTTCTATGCTTTAGGTGTACTCTATTTATACGTATCAATAATGTTTATCTTTCATATTCAGATTGTAGTCAATGCGTACAATTATTGCGTTTCCGGTTTGAGAATAGTCAATGATGTCGCGCGAGTCAGGGGTACGAACTAGTAGATCTGTTACATATTGTCCTGTCCTAATACTTTTCCTCTTGCATTAGCGTCTGGCTCCGTACAAGAGTAATTATGTTTGCTTCTATTGTAATACACTGATATCATCCGTATAACATTACGCAACAACGATTATTTTATATTACGCGTGCCATATATAAAATAATTCTAATTCCCTCTTTTAGGTTGACTATAAAATTTTTAATTTTACTTCTTGTAGCTCTATTTCTGCATCCGAAATAAAATCTAATTGTTGCTACTCTATATTCTTTTCTTTAAAATTTTGTTCAAGAGAAAAAAATATTTTTCAAATATTTTGTTGTACAATTTTCCATTCCAAGAGAAAAAATAATAATAATAATACGAAAAAATGAAGAAAGAGAATGCATAAGAGTTTAAAACTCAAGTTTTTTTTAAACCTAAATTTTAACTTTAAATAAATTTAAAAAAACACTCGAAGGCCATTTGCCTAAGGGATGCCTTCGTGGGAGAATTTCGAAGTTAAACTGCTTCATACTTTACGTTACATATAGCAAAACTCACAAAACTATCTATGCAGTCAACCTGTTAGTCGGAGTCAATAACTAGTCAAGGTCCCTTATCTTGGGGTGATGCTCAACAAAACTCTTACATGAACCCCACACATTACATCTATTATCCAAAAGTTTCGAGTTCGTAAAGCTAAACCATACCCTTTAATTGCTCGAAACAGTGTTTTATCTATTGATAACAAGTTACTCATTTATAAGTCCGTTCTCCGTCCATTACTATATTATGCTAGTCCAGTTTGGGCCTATACCAAAAAACTGTAATAGGAAAAAATTACGGACTTGCAAAAATTCTGTTCTTAGGCAAATAGTTAAAGCGGAGCGGTACATCTGAAACAATAGAATGCATAAAGACATGGGTATGGAACAACTACGCTCACATTATTTATATTGCTAAGAGCTTTCATGAAAGACAAAAAACAATTAACAACCCGGGCCATTAAGATTTGCAATTATGACTACAATAACTAGCAAAATATGGACAGGCCCATGGCCCAACTGAATGTATATATTATGTAATATTTATTATAATGCCTTTACGGTTTATGTTAATCTTCTCTTATTGTATCTGCTATGCATTCTTTTTAGTCTTACGTTCATAGTATTTATATCTTACTTATCGGATTCAAATTACCAATGTTCGCCTAACCTTGCCTTTATCCACACGCTCACCAGCTCGACGACTTTTGGCCTGCATTCATTTGACATCGCTTAATATTTTAATTAGTATTTCCTAACTTCTGGCTTAAATATGAATTCTAAATGATTAATTATTCATTTAAAAACTTTATTATAAAAAACAAATTACCTTAGATAGCTTTTAAGTTATTTCATCATACCATTCGCAATTCGCAAACTGTTCTACAAGGCGTAGAGCCTTGTCGTTCAGGTACCCTGGTGTACCAAACACCGTTCCACGGAGACAGAATAACTAGTCTGATCGCCAGTATTCATGCATATTTATTCGACAACTTGTGTTACTCAGTATTAAAGATTTAATTTCATGAGAGGACAACAATAGACGTTATTTTTATTTGAGAAGTCAAATTATTTGCATGATATGCTTATACTTTTTTTTTTACTTTCTTCGTTAAAAAATAATGAAAAATTATTTCTAGAGTTGTTAGTGTTAGAGTTATCTGGAGTTTTCCTATTGCAATTTTTTGTTGTTGTCACTGTTATGAACGCTCCATAATATTCATATAGTACAGCCATATGACAGTTTCACCTTCTTTTACCTTCCGGAAAAAAATCACCATCCGCAACACAAAGAATGACGTTTTTGAATCGTGAAAAGAAGTTATCTTCACTCTTCACTTCTCGAAATGCACTATTTTGTTCTGCGACCTTGAAGATTTCTAAGACTTTTCCGGTCATACTTGAGTCACTATGTTTCATCATCAGGAGATGACTGAATCTAAGAGTATGGATGATCTTTTGTTTGCTTTAAGAACGTCTTTGCACTATTCAAAGCATCCTCGTATTCTGTTAGCCAACCTGTGGGGAACAAACCTTTCTTTTCATTATCACAGCTCAAAATAACATGAATTGAATTATTAGATATACTAAATTCTTCGATAAGTGTTGATAAAGATTTCTGACTCAGCTACAGTAGTTATGTATACTTTTTTTTTTTTTTTTTTTTTGATTAATTGAGTTAAATTTCAGGTCTTAGACTTAAGTGCATGGAGACACATGTCACAGTCGTCAGCACATCCTAAGTTAAACACGTAGCAATTAAACATTGTAATTCTATAGCATAACGTGAGGATTTCAAGTCTTACAATGGCCTGATTTTAAATCATCATTAACACCTTCTCCGCAGTCTTTGAAGCATCTGTTTTACACGTGAATTTGCGAACGGAATAAATCATCATTGGAATAAAGTTGAAACTCAGGGTAAGTGTTTCCGTGAAAATTACCAAGTTTGAAAACAAAACTTAATGCTTCGTTCTGATTTCGTAAAGATGCGCTAATTAGTATTGGTACATTGATCTATATTTCTCGAAAGATATTAATTATTTGCTTTTCTTAAAATTTTAGCATGAAAAGCAAAAGTGAGTTATTGAAAATCATACTTCGTGTTTTAAATGGGGATTGTGACCTTCCCAAGGTGGAAAAAGTTCAGTTTTTTATTATGCCTTATTATTGCCTAAAATTTGCCTTATTTTCGATAATAAGGCAAACTGCACCGAAAGATTTCGGTTTAGTTAATTATGGCAAAGGTCACTAGGACTGTCTGCCTAAGAAGAGGAATCCCTTCGTAGAGGACTTGTAGAGACATTAGAAATTTTTGGAAGCAGGCAAGCTGAAAAATTAGCAACACCTTCGCCGGGAATCAAACAGCGGACCTCTGGAATACGCGCCCAGCATACAGACCACCACACCAGGAAGGCAGGAGAAATACTTTATATACTCCTGCTTTTAAAGGGCGACTGGGGTTTTTAGCGGACTCAGTCGCCAAATCCTGGGTGTGAAGAGTCATCATCCACCACCCTTTTAGTTCGGGCGCCAGTGTAGAGACATTAGGATTTTTTGGAAGCAGGCAAGAGGAAAAAGGAGCAATGCTTTCGCCGGAAATCGAACCGTGGAATACGTGCCCAGCGTGCAGACCACTACATCATGAAGGCATGCCAGGAAGGCGGGAGAAATACATTATAGACTTTTTAAGGAAAACTGGCTTGCATACACTGCACCGAAAGGAATAAATACAAAAGGAGCTTGTATGACCTTGCTACACTTTGTGTTGCTTTAGTCGGAATTTCCTCCATTGTGATAGACTTCAAAGCTTCCATGAATAGTAGAACTTACTCCAAATATACTAGAAGATGAGACTGCAGAATTTATGGATAAACGATATTTAAGTTGCAGTGAAAAAATTTTGGACTGGAAGAAAGAACAAATTGCTACCATCCACGATATTGGTTATATAAATGAATCTTATGTTAAGCTGGAATAGACTGTTCTACAGGAAAATCTGAGGTACCACAAAAATTTCTAGGAAATCTCATGTAAACTAAACCACATAAGTCTGCTATATTTGTAAATGTTCATGGACATTGTCCTACAAAAAATGCTTTTATTATTTTATTGGAATTTATTTTAAACATCAGAAATCATCGATGTAAATAAGGTAAATTTAAACACGAGTGAATTTGAAAGTAAATTTGAACACGAGCATAATTTTCAAGGCATCTGGTTTCCTTTTCTTATGCTTCATAGTTTCATACTTATCATTTTATTATGGAAATTTCACCGCTGTTATGTTATCTTTTACTTACAAAATGTATTATTCTCTAATTTTGTTAAACAGTGTTGTTACAAATAAATATCTAGGAATTAAAATTAACGATTTCAATAATTAATTTCATCTAGTAAATAGTGTTCATATTTTTATTTCGATTTCCATTACTATTTTTGTTTTATAAATACATAAAGGAATCGATTGGATTACCTAATTTAAAAAAAAAAAAAAAAAGGATAATCTACCTAGCTGCAACCTGTTTTCACTCAAACCAGTCTGAAAGAAAGAATTAGACAGTCTTTAACTCTTCTTCCCTATCAAAGGGAACAGCTAAAGATGTTGTAATTCGAAAAAATTCAGATTGACATTCTAATGCCCTGAAGGGTTTACTTATATCTTAAAAATGATGGAGTATAAAAATAAAAACTTTTTTAAATTTCAGCCTGATCTTCATATTAAAATTATTGCTTAACATTTGAAATAATTTAAACTAAAAAATCACCACAGGCCTACCAGTTTAAGTATCAATCTTCTAGAAATTTAGGATGTAGAATATAAAATCACATATTTAAAAGTTCAAAATGGCAAATTCATATAATAAAGAATACATTTATTATGAAACTATTCCATCACAAATTAATGCCACATGGAATCTTTGTATTTATAAAAAAAAAAAAAAAAAAAAAAAAAAAAAAACTCAGTAGCTCAAGCCGTAGGATGCACTTTTTTTCATAGGTTCGTTTGCCCACTAAATTTACAATACACATTTCTGCCAGATGAAAATGTAGTACTTAGTGAGAATCCCAAGTCTGCAAACAGAAAACAAATATTTCATGAAGCTTTATTCGACGTACTTAATGCTTTAATCAGTGAGCTTTATATTACGCCACATCTAGAGCTAAATGCTTTGTTGCCTCTCATCTCTCATTTAATACAATTTTATAGAAGCATGTACTATAAAACTATATGCATATAGCACTGAATAAATTGAACCAGTGTATGATATGTGTCACGCAGACTTCTTTTCTCCATGCCGAAATCAAAATATCTTCATAAAGAGTGGATTTCAGTTGTTTGCAATACATTCAAGCAAAGCTTCTTTTCAAGTTTACTGACCCAGCCGACAAGCAAGAAGTACACAGTGTACGCGGGAGTAAACAATCAAAAAACACAGCTAAAATTCAGCCACCGAATTTTCAAAAGAAAGGGAAGAGACAGAAACTGTTTATCGTTTCTACGACTCTTTTCAAAGATTTCCGCATTCTCAGTCATGCGAGAAAATGACAAAACACTTTTATAACGTTAAATATTCATGACCTCAATTAATTTTTTAATAAAATAAAGTTCTTTGACTTCAGCTCTGAAACAGCAGTCTATCGGAGAGATCATGAATCGGAGAGAAGGAGAGATTTCAGGTTCGTGTCCTCTACCAGTCAATACTATCAAAACTTCAGACGGATTAGTTTATTTATAAATCGCACACCCATTAAATGAGGAATCATTATTGTAATGGTTAGGTAGGTTAAATGAATTTCATTCTGTTCATGTTAATAATAGATGGTAATTTTAATGTGATAAAAAAATTCTCTCGATGCACATATTTGTGAAATCATCACGAATGGCACCTTGACATGGTCTCTAAGTTTGAATCACGGATCTTCTACTTAGGAGCAAAGTCAAAACCACTTTGAAGATTCCGGTATAACCCATTTGCACGAATCAAGGTTTCCCCCTTTGCCTGCCTGGGGAATTAAACAATATCATAAAGTTAAAGAAGTTTTCTTCTCCCGCGGTTACTACAGGTGGTCTTCCCACCTTCCGAAGACCCCTCCCTTTTAAAAAGCTGAAAGTTACTGTTACGTTTTACTTTTCGAAACAAATAGCAGCCAGCAAGAAAAGAAAAATAGAGAAACATAATTACATAACACAAGAACAAATAAAGAATATCTAGCAAGCAGGCTAATTACTTGAATAACAGTAATAAATGCAAGAGCTAGCAACACAGAGAAAATAAAAGATATTAGTAAACACACGTATTAGCATCAGAAACATTTTTCATTATTGCAGTACTACAGCAAAGGGTGTTATAATAGTATTATAAATTAGATAATTATAAAGCATACGGATTATCTTTCTTATAAATTATATATGTTAATACTAACATTCATTTAACATCTTCCTTTCATAATAATATTCATGGTGTCTGAGCTAAACTGGAAAATTTAATATAGTTTATAAAGTATTTTCTCCCTCCTTCTAGCATCCTTCTTCTTCGTGGTGTTGTAGAGACATTAGGTATTTTTTTTTTTTTTAAAGCAGGAGAGATGAAAAATGAGCAATGCCCTTGCTGGGACTCGAACCACGGACCTCTCGAATATGCGCCGAGCGTGCTCATCATTTCACCACGAAGGCATGCTAGGAAGGCGGGAGAAATACTTTATAGTGCAACGGTAGCACACGCGGCGTGTATTCGACTCCCAGCGAGGGCATTGATAATTTTTCACTTCTCCTGCTTCAAAATATCCTAATGACTGTACAGTGGCGGCCGAACTAAAGGGTGGTGCATGATGATTCTTCATCACCAGGATTTGGCGACTTAGTCCCCTAATCCTCAGTTGCCTTTTAAAGTGGAGAGTGTATAAGGCATGTTCTCTCTCTTTTCGGTATGTCTTCGTGGTGTAACAGTAGTACACTCGGCGGGTATTCGAGAGGTCCAGACTTCGAGTCCCGGCGAGGCCATTACTCATTTTTCATGTCTCCCGTATCAAAATAATCCTAATGTCTCAACTCTAAAATGTGTATATTTTTTTATTCAGCATAAAAAAAAAAAAAAAAAAAAAAAAAACCTAATCACTCTACAGTGGTGCTCGAACTAAAAAGATGGTGGATGATGATTCTTCACCACCAGGATTTGGCGACTGGTGTCCCCTAATCCCCAGTTGCCCTTTCAAAAAGGGAGTATATAAGTTATTTTCTCCCTCCCTCCAGCATGCCGTCGTGGGGTAATGGTAGGACACTCGGGGCGTATTCCAGAGATCCAGGTTCGCGTCCCGGCGAGGGCATTGTTCATTTTCCGTGTTTTCTACTTCAAATATCCTAATGACTCTACAAGTTAACTAGCTTGCAAACGATTATTCATTACTAAACTATTATTCCGGAATAAACATATTAAAAGAGAGTAGTAAGCACTTAGTACTTTCCGAAAAATTCCGAAATAAACATGTTAAGCAAATTAGATGGAGAAATAAACCAT